TTATATTGTTAATTCTTTATATTCGAACTTCATTCTCTCACCGTGATCCATAAAGCCTGCTCATCGGTGAGGCTGGAACGGGTCAACGGGCGTAAGTAGCACACCACATAAGACGTGCCAGCCAAGCGATGTCGAAATGAGCGCATTATCAGCTGGAAGAAACAGCCTTCTAATTGCGTGCACGCCGTCCCCTAATAACTGTTACTCCGGAGCGCCACAGAAAATGAGCTTCGCGAAGAATGCCTTCGAGAGCCTTAAGAGTGCATGTGTGTTGCGTATATAGCGCACGTGTGGGGCCAACATACTCGCGATTTTGATTTACAGCGCGAAGCGTCCGAGCCAAACTCATGAGCACCAGGTTTTGTCTCTTTTCTTTTTTTTTTTTGCCCGGTGCAGCCAGTGGCGTAGAGTTTTTTTCTTCAAGACCGATCTATAGTGCATCATGTCTGGTTCATCGATCAGCAACACCTCCCCTACGGACAAACGAGGCTAAAACACAACGAGAGCACTAGACGTGATCACGAGTTGACATGGCAATGATCACGATGAGGCCGTATAAGTGAACGGTCAAAGAGCGTGAGACATATGCCCGCGCATAGTAGCCATTCCTTGCAAAGAGCTTCGCTGCATGTACCTTTGGGTAAACGTTTCTTTTTTTATCATAGCCAATTGCGGGGCTACTTTTAGCTACTGCTATGCGCACGCCGAATAGACCTTTGCCAAAGAGGACGTGACAAGTGATATTCACAAAAACACCTTTACAGCAATGACCAAATGATATATTCGATTCCTAGAATTTTTATATAGGTGGTGGATTGGCCGGCGCATTGACGAATGCGTCTTTTCTGGAAAATCAATCGCAACGAACTTCAATGCAGGTCACATGGTCCAGAGTTCGTGCACATGTGTGTGACCCTTGCTTCGCGATGTGCAATATGGTGTTCCTACAGTAGAACTGCGTAGAAAACTTTCAGGACGCAATCGTATGCATTGCCACAGCGGAGGTCGTTCACGATTTGGTAAGAGCTTCTCCAATGGCATCGCGCAGTATAGGTATGACCAAAAACATGGAACGCTTAAACTGGGGAAGTATATAGGTACTTTAAACTTTTATTTCGTGCAATCACATATTTATCACATTTTAAAATATAGTTCTCGTGATATGGGGCATCTGCGACATTGTATGTACTATAAACACTGTTGTGTACTTAGTAGAAAAGAGATGAGAAATATTCATAGTTAAGTTCTTTATGTGTCCTTTATCTCCCCTTTCCTCTTCACCAATGAAGCGACGAAACAGGGCCGACCAGCAGAGTGCCTCAAGTTCTTTGCGATATTGAAGGCTAACAGACCGGTTCGCACTTCGCGCATACTATGCTTCTCTGACTCGCATCGTATTCAGTTTACCACTCCAGAAATCCTTTTTAGAGTTACTTCAACGAGGCTGAATAATGTACCTACATTGGGGAACTTTTTCAGTGCACGTTGTCAAAGGGACCGGACAGTTGGTATCCTTCATCGCTCGAAAAAAGGGCGCCACTCGAACCAAACTTTTGCGCCCCACAAATCTTCTTCAATTTCGCGCTCACCTAAGCAGCGTCAACTCCGTACAGCCGCGTGCCGCCTAATTACGTCCCGTAACTCACGGCTCACGTTCTAGCGCCGCAGCGTCGCGCTGCTAAACGCGAAGCGTACGAGGACCGTAAATCTTGGCGCCAATGAAGAGAGAGGATGCCTCTCGTCGACTAGCCTCTTCTCAAATGCAAATCACTTCCTCGTACACACAGACGCATACATACGCAGGCGGGGGCACAATAGCAGCCACCCACTTCCACACACCTAGACTTTTTGTCTATGTGAGTGAGGTTAGCGTGCCGCTGTCGTTGGCACTTTTAGAAGAAGACCTCCACAAACGTTGGAGTGTATACCGGGGCGACACAGTGTAACAGAGCGCAGCAGCTGGGCTGCTGCTACTCGCGATTTTTTATGGGGTTTCTAGGTGCGCTGCTCGGGGCTCCGTATGAGGCACGCGTGCATAGTCGCTCCCCTTTTCGCAGCTTCTTTTCCGCTTTGAGTACACGGGTATTATTGCGGCCGCAGACCCAAGAATCACGAGTCGCGTTCCTTAGAAAGCGGGCAAGAAGGTCGTATACTCCGTAAAACGGTTGAAACAATAAAAGCAGAGCGCAGTTGGAAGAAGCAGGTCCTGATATAGAAAAATAAGGGTTATGAAGATGTGGTGCCATACAGGAGGCCTCGATATGAAAAGGTCCGAAGAGTCACGCATCAATCAAGGTAACAAAAAAAATAGAGCTCGAAACCAAAGGGGCAGTTTATTCTGAACCGCTCGTTAAACACCCTCCTTCAGTACGGAACTCGCTAATGGAGGCAGGTGGGGTCGTGCGTCCCTCTCGTTGACTTCGAGACACGTCGTCGGACCGATATTGGCCAGCGAAAGACGGAATCAGATGGACAAAAGTTTTATCTTATTGTTTCAACTTGATTCGTTTCGAGTTTTTCTCTAAGGATTACTGCAAAGGCAGTATCGCCTTGTCAATAGCTTATAAGAAGCGGATGTGAAAAAGGAGAACGAGATCAAGGACCACAGCAGGCATTCTGCGACAAGGAGCACTACAGAGGTCACTTACTGGAATGAAGATCGCCCGCATTAAAAGGAGCATGATTCAGACATTCTGACAGTTCGTGGAAGCAGTTACTTGAAAATGGAACTAGGGATGCGACATGATGCCGCAAATATGTGTATGAAATGCGTACAGCGTCGTGTATGCCTACTTGTATATGGTATGCTTATAATTGCCAAGTTTTTGTAGGCCCCGGGAACCAATCTATATTTCCGCATCTCTCAGTGGCTCTATATGAAGCGGCTGCTCAAGTCATTTCTGCCATTTTCAATCCACATATCGCTCACGATTCTCGTATATAGCGTCTCTAAACTTTCTATAAAGCGTCCGCTGGAATGGCAAAGGTAACAACGGGATGTTAACATTCTTTCATGTTATGTTCCGATTGGGTGACTGTGTTTTTACAAAAGCTATTCACTTTGTATTCATGAGTGCACTATGCTATGAGCTAAAGAGCGGCTGTACTACGTAGACTATAAGCCATGCTTCATCATTTCCTCTTTATCAACATTTCATATTAATCGTTTTCCGAGCACCGTGCACTGTGAGACCACAGCGCATCTTCACGGGCTACGTTTTTGTTTTTTCGCTCGCAAAACATCCGCTATGCTTCCGTAAATGAGATCACCTCACTTCTTACTTCCACAGGCTGCTCCTGATTTCAGCGGAATTCCTAGATTTATTTTTTTTTTCGCGCTGACACCGGCATTCACTCGAAGCGGAAGCGCGGCCATGTCCAAGAGTGCCGGGCTTCTGCTGTAGTCCGGAAGCGAGAAGACGCAAATGATTCGTTGCAGTTGTAATATCGTTACTCGGTTACTCGGACACTGTTCTTTTTATTCTAGTTCTTTTGAAGTCATTCACCCTGCTCGCGAACAAGGAGATACTTTCTTTTGTTGCAATGACGGCATTTCTTCATTTCTTTGTGTACAATGAAAAACCAGGTTTCCTGCGGCTATTCTAGCATGCTTCTTAGGAATACCCTTTTTAAACGGGTAATGATGAGAGACATGCAAGCGTTCAGTAGCACAGTTCAGTAGTAATTAGTAGTAGTTCAGTAGTGCAGTAACGAGCACTGCACTCATAGAAAACGTCACTTGCCAGGACAATTGACACTGTCAAACCTGCACGGGAATTCAGGTCATACTATAGTTAAGTGCTTGTTTTCTGGAACATCTTCTCCTGGTCACTATTTACTCATGCAGATAAATGTTTCGTTATAACTTGCGTGTGTTCTACTAAAATGGTTCTCATGGTTATTGGTGATATCGCCCGGTTATTGGTCAGCAGTTGCGCGAGGCCAAGTAATGACGAAAGCAAAATTAACTTGATTATACTCTAATGACTTCGATAAGCGGCACAAACGCCAGTCGGCGATGGCTTTCGTGAAAAAGGCACTTGAAATTCATTAGGTCTATTTCTTTTTTGGGAAACATTTGTGTATACGATCAACGTTGGGGGCTTCAAGTCAAGCCGTTAAATTGAGCATCACCTGCGATCAAAGGCGTCGTAAGGAGAGAACACACGCACGTCGCTAATATTTCCGCGCAGTTCAAAGTATTTGGCGCTACAAATATAACACTGAACTCGGGCTTCAATGAAGCTGTTCTGATTACAAAGAGGCCATCGTCTCTACAGTGACGTGCCTCAGTTTTAGGCCGCATTCATGCAATCTTCAGAATTTTCGTACATACGTTACGCTTTTCCGAGCACCACATAAATTCAAACATTTTCTCTCCCTCAACAATTAATCACCACGGAACTCTACTCTGACACTCTTCACCTATTTGATTAGTAAGCAAAGCTTTCGGTGTATGTTACCGTATTGCTGACAAATTACTTACGATATATTCATGGTGAATTCCGTATATTGTGAACACGAATGGTCGCAGACTATCATCTATAAAAGACAACACAAAATGTGTGAGTAGGACACCGAGTTTTTGTGAGCTCGTCGCGTTCCACACGTCATCGTCATATAGGAGCACTTGTCTATCATTCCGATAGACGAAACTAGCACACAATACATTTCGAAACTTGCCATGCAGTTTAAGATTTCTTTTCTCGAGTACGGTGTATAGACTTCGCACTTGTTCGAAGTATATGTTACATTAGTATTACGTTCGTAGGCAGCCTAGTGAAAGCATTTTTCTGCTAATGCAAAGTGCCCGATCTTAAGCGGAAAAAGACGACCTGCATTCCCGTTGTTACATTGACCAGGTTCGAAGCCGCACGACCACTCGTGTACAGCCCATGGTCATTGAGCAACTTCGGAGGCTGGTCACTGTAAGACGATTTCACTATCCTTCGAAGTAAGCATTTCACTAAAGTATAGTGCCAAGATGTGGGGGTACTCACTTCCTGTCCAAATGTAGGAACTTCATGTCCATGGAGTGTATGGAGGTGAACACGGATGTTGAACCCTGGACGACGCACTCTCGCGTCTCAGGCATGGCCACGGGCGTGCACGTGGCCAGGAAGACGGGTTCGTTTCGGCTGCACAGCGGTAGGTACGACACGAAGTGACCCTGCACCAGAACCACCTGCCGAAAAGAAAGTTCGAAAAAAGCAGTCAAGGAAAAGCGGCAGACAACAATATAAAGTATGGCATGCCTATAGAGAAGCTTCAAGTAACCTGCTGATGCTGAGGTAGGAGCGTTTTAGGTCACGAAAGATGATCAGGAAGCTGAAAGAATTCACAACTTCAGAGTTGCAGATCGTTCACTAGCATTGTGCCACTTTACGGTTCCTGTACACATCGCGCAACAGTTTAATACTAAAAAGTAAGAAATTCCTTCTATGTTTATTTTCTTCTGGTGACACAGCTTATTAAATGAGAGCTTGGGATTTACCCGACTATAAATTAATAGATATAACGACATTTTTATATGACCTATTGCGTGTTTGTGGCGTGTTTGCAATTACTTGAAAGTGAACAGTTGGTATCGTGTAAAGGCCGGCAGCACCTTTTAAACAGCATGCTTATTTAAATAATCACATCTAGAAGTCCGATAGGAGTTTCCTCTCGTACACTAAAGTGTTCATGTTATCTGACGATAGTTATAGCGCGAGAACAAAACGACGACACAGCGACAAGAAGGACACGAAAGACACGAAAGTCTCTGTGTCGTCGTTTTGTTCTCGCGCTACAACTATTGTCATGCTATACCAACTAGCCCAAGATGCCACACTTCTAAGTTACATTTCATGTTACCCTTTGGACCTCAATCAATCATCAATGCCTATTCAGGTTATGTCAACAGCACTGCCTACAAGACATCAACATTGAGAGATGTACTTTGAAAACACAACGAATAAGCTATATATGAATAGGTAGTACAACATTGCCTCTTCGAAGGGCAGATAAATGTCTGGACGAGTTTACGACCACTAAAACTGCTGCATCAATACCGCGTCGGTAGACTTAAGTGATTCCATCAGCATATGTCATTCAAAGCACCACGCACACTCAATAATCTTCATAACGAGCTGAAGTGCGGGAAAGATGAAACGGATGTTCGTTGGTTAAACCAGGCTGGCACATCAACACAAAAGAAAACGGACAGCAACTGGGCGCGCACATTGCAGTATTCTGCAAAGCAAGCAAGCAATAAGAAAGAGGTAATGCCTGAGATGACGTGTTGTCTGCATTCGGACAGTAGGAGTGGCAGAAAGGCACAGACTCGAGCCTATTAGTAGCTGTCATTCAACGCTTTGCACGCAGTGCTGATGCTTCGACAAACAGTGCAGAGGGCGAGTGATTGAAACCGCGGCGGTTAAGAAGACGAATGCACGTAGTTTGGGCGACAAGGGTCATCCAGGGCAGCCGAGCGGAACAGGGGGACAGATACGCGGAACGCCTCTCTATTTCTGCACTTCTTTGTACGGAGAAGCGAAACGAAACGCGGATCCCTGTGAATAAGAGAGGCTCGCAATAGCCGATGCAGCTCAGCCCATGACAAAGAAAAAGAGATGTGCTTCTTTTTCGTTCCTTTCGGCAGAACGAGAAATCAATGCCGTCTTAGCCGCATGGGCGGGAACCGGCTCTAACGCAGGACTTAGCAAACGACCAACAGAAGAACAGCAGAAGATGATCGCAGAAGACGAACAAAAGAGCAGCAAAGTGCGAGGCCGAGAGTAGCAGAACGAAGATTGTTTTGTTCCCAGGGATAGGAAACGCCACTAGTGACGATAGAAGGCCTCGCTTGTACAAAAGAGCTTGTTCTTCTTTTTTTTCTACTGCTACAGTTTTGAAAAGCATATATGGTACAATTATTCTATTTTGTTTTCCTATTGGGGCAGGATCATCTATACGTCGTCCTCACTACCCCAGTCAAAGACTCCCTCCCCTCTTCCCCCTTCTCGCTTACACTTTGCCTATATACTGCCCTCTTTGCCCCACAGAGCAGGCAGGCGTGTACTACTACAGCCATTGTTGCTTGTCTCAAGAGAGAAATCGCTGATCGTTTCGTTGAAATCGTCTCGAGTCTCTCGGAGATGCCCTGAACCGTACGGACGCATTTCTTCTTGGCCGGAAAGTACTAGTGGCCTTTCAGAAGTCCGGATGTGAATACTGCATAGCTCTGGTCTTCGTTGGCGATGCGTGTTTGTTGCGTACGCCACGAGTGCCTGGGAAAGAAAACACGGTGAATATTACGTCGTGGCTGCGTATTTTCACATAGTTCTTTGTGTAGCTGGCTGACTGTCGTAGCAAGGAGGATAACTCTTGCCACTTGCCAAGTAGTTCCTTACCCATCTGTGGGATATTTCATCGCTTTTTTACTTTTGATCTACCGGGATTTCGGCAAACTAAGTGGTGCTGATGTGCGCGATGTCTGCTGTATGTATTTCATTGTTTTATTTCAGATATGTTTCACTATGTTCATCTAAACCGCTTATGTATGTCTTTTGCGGGCTGCATTTTCAATATGATTTTTTTCTGCAGAATTATAACGTGCATAATGTCAGGCTAAAGAACTGCTGGCATTAAAATTTTCATTGGGCCAAGCGTCCAACAACGGTGTTCAGTCAGCTGTTATCCTGCAGCTCAAACTCGGGAACGTGCTTCCACGCGCGGACGTGCAGTCATCCGAAATTCCGTAAGCACAGCCATGCGCACTTTCCAAATACGCATATGGATATTTTTCGGGGCGAATTTCACAAGACGTTTTTTTCGTCATAAGTGCGAGTTGTAACTGTTCCCTTGATTTTTCTCCCGAAATTAATCATATGCTTTAGAACGTTTCTCAGTATAATTCCATACCAAAGATTGTGTATTATAATCCATCAACACATCTCTCAAACTTGTGATATGGCTAGATGCGTCGTACGAGTGATTACAGAAATACGTGATGCTCCCGTATACCGGAACTTTGGCGGCAAAACAATGGGTGGAACCACTACCCAGCAACATGAACCCTGATCTACATCGCGGCCATAGACTAGCACGTTCCGCGGCCCCTCAGGAGTGACACTCCGATCACCCTGGTGTTTTCTACGTATAGACGTCTCGGGCCCCTACCCCTCGAGCCTCTTCACGGCCGCCGTGATTACGGAGGGAAAACATGTCGATCTATGGCCTCTACTTTAGAGCCAACACTTTGACGCTAGCTGAGGAGGTCGCCACTGCTTTGGCCTCCTCGCATTCCACCTCATGCACCATTCTGACAGACTTGCACTGAGGCTGTTCACAATACCGTCAGGGTTCCATCACCCTGCTGGCGGCTCACCTACTTCGGGCAGCCTCTTGGAACTTCAACCCTCACCCCAATCGTATGGCATGGACTCCAGGCCACCCTGGCCTGTCCGGCAACGAAGCGGTGAACGCCGCCGCCCGCACTTCTCTCATCCAGCCATTGCCCATCCCTGTCCCGAGTCAGAATCTGGCAATACAAAACTGGCGCACTTTCGCGAAATTCTTGCCTATTACCGGGATTCGCGCCATGGACGTGCGAATAATATGCCGCCTCAAGACGAACATCCATCTCAAACTGGTGGTCGCCAAGCATTTTTAGCCGGCAATCAGTGGCACCTGCTCGACATGCCAGGTCCTGGTCGACAACTACCGCGTCGTCGCTTGGTGCCCCACCAACCTCCTTCCTTTTCAACCCCCTTTTCCCATCCCAACTAGAAAGGCTCGGGAGAAGTATGTGTTCGGCTGCTCGACTTTGGATGCTCAACGCTCCTAGGTGAGGCGCGTTCGAGCAGCGGCGAACTCTAGTGGCATCCCTGAATAGAGTCTTGCCACTAAAACAAGCGATACGCCGCAAATCTCTAGTACATTATCTTTAATGAAATGTTTTCTACGACCACCTGATGCTGATAAAACCATCATTCAGCTTGCTAAGATTCTTTTTACTACAAAATCCAACTTGACTCTTCGACGAAGCGCCGCCGCAACTATCGTAGCAAAACAAGTTACGTCAGTACAACGCAATGGTATGCGTAGCGCTGAGACTCGTACGCCTCCTTCATGAAAGAGCGCTGGCGAGCTGGCAGAGCACATTGTGTGCCGGTGTGCATCTTCCCCCGGATACCACTTTTCGTTTCTTCCATTGTCAAGGCGTGTGAGAATGCAGAGGTTGGAGCGAGAGAAAACGAGCTTTCAATCACCCTTCGACCTGCTGGGGTCGCTTATGATGTGCCCACCTTCTATATAGACTTCTCGGTCGTTTTGTTGCGTGTGCTTTTTCTCTTACGTATTTTTTGTGTCTCTGTGAGAATAATGACGGTATGCATGCGGACACTTGGCCTGAGAATGGGCTCGACTGGTAATGATATCTTTTCGGTTGGTATGCAATTCAATATGACCTCGAACGATTTTCTTTTCAACCGTGCAATAAAGGTATATTGATTACTAAGTGGCCCTTAAAAAAACGTGAGTATCACAGTAACCGAGCTCCAAGGCTGTATTATCGTATTTTGTTAACATGCTATGGTTAGAGACCCACTTTATAGAACAATGCAGTGTACCTGCAGAATGAATGATTTTGGTTTTTACGACTACTCGAAGAGGCCGATCAATGCGAAGGTATACAGTACGCAAACAACTTCCCCGGGAATCCCCAGTATTGTGCAAGCGTCTTTCCTGTGAACCATGGAGCCTTGGCGTGTTGCTTTCCGATAGAGCTGTCAGCGAACTGTCCCTCTGTACATCTGCCGGGAGCCTCACGAATACTATATCAGTTCGGGAACGTCTCATTGGGTGTAGTCTTCCAGGAGCTTCTGTTTCATAAACCACGTTTACCCACTCGGCAGCGAGAAACGGCAAGTTAAAACGAAGAGAATACGTCGCACATTCTCTCGACGGCAATAGATGCCGTTTGCGTGTATATAGTTCGTACGTAGAACTTGTTGGCAAAGGCGACGGGTTTTCGATAGTCCGACGCGTGAAGTTAGGCCTCGGTGAAGCAACACTGATTTGGGAAAATATTTTCGTGTACGTGTTCAGAAAGTTGATGCAATAACTCATCTTCAACACGTAAAAGAAGAATAGTGCGCAAGTCCTGATTAACAAGTTGCGTTTTATCTTATTTCATTAAGGCTCGTGTCGAGCAACCAGAAATTCTAATCATGGTTAACGATAAGCGCCGAGTATGTCCTTGGTACAGCTATGTAGTGTCCTTCCGTAAAATATTATAGTGTTATTGTGTCAAAATAATGATAGCGAGAAAATGAACGATAGACGAGCAAACTGACGCAGACAAGCCCCTCTTTCCTTCCACCAGCTTGACCTTCGTTCATTTTTCGGACCACAGGACTTCACGAGCGCTTGTGAAAAAACAGCGCTGTGTATAGTCTCGAGCTGCCTGTTCATAGATCTCTTTTTTACTCTTCTTTTTTCTCTCAGTCTTTTTCCTTTGTAATTTCCCCTTTCCCCCACCCTAAGGTGTAGGGTAGCGAACTAAGCCAAGCTTGGTTAGCCTCCCCTGCCTGTCCTCTGTATTCATCTCTATTCGCGCATGCTGTCAGTACCTTGTGCAATTGAGTACCGCCCAGTCCTAACCTTCACGCTTTAATATCATGAAGAAACTTAAGTTATGAAACGACAAAGCTGTGCATTGAAAGCGCACCTTCTGGTCACCGAAGCGCATTTGTCGGCGTGCGTTTCGCGACACGTTCATGCGGCAGAGGAAGAGCCTCGTGTCAGGCTCGTGGTGCAGGACTCCCAGCGGGTTCGGGCTGCGCATCAGCTCGGCCTGGATCGCCTGGTGGTCCTGCTTCTCGATGATGTCGTACACGCTGTCGCCGTGGATGAGGAGGTCCTCCTGCGAACGGTAAAGACAGACAAAATGGCCACATTTGGCTCAAGAGGATGTTTGATTTCAATTTTCATATATGTTATGCTTCACTAACCGTAAGTACCATATTTGAAAAAAAAAGCGAGCAGGTGAGGCATAGTTCAGAGTGTAGTGCCCTAAACGTAATATTACAGCTGGACCACGAAAGAAACTGTGCAGACTTCAAAAAATGGCTTATGTTTGAATCTGGTTGTACATTCATAGCAAGCTCTGAAAATCCCGCGATATGTTGCCAAAAATAAAGAGAACATAAGCGGCCTTTCCACAGACACGCGCTCCACTACTTCATCCTCTCAAGTGATAATGTTCACTTCTTGCACATTGAGAGAAACTAATAATATTCTAGTTAACAAGATTTCGGGCGACATCTTGTCTGGTATCGATGGTTTTTTTAAGTGCGCAAGCTCACCGAAAAATAAATCATTACTTAGAAGAAGCACTCAGCCTAGTGCCTTCTTTATGCCCTATTACGCTTGTGCTTTAACCTGGGAACTGGTCATTTATAACCATTTCACCAATGTTTCGCATCTAACTTTCATTTTCCTAGACAACCAGACACTGTTTTGTGAGACAATAGGCAGAACATTTCCACGTTTTCAATCCTGCCTTCGATTCTAGTGCGCAGCAGATTTGAATTCTATTTGCTAGATAAATCCTGATTGTCTTCGCACTTCTACCACCTTATAAACTTTCTTGACAAATTACTACAATGAGTAATGACTCTTATCGATGAGCAATTTCGTTCTCCCGAGCAGATTCAACACTGTCTACTTCCACAAGGTTGCACGCATGTAAAAAGCATACACAATGAAATCGAGGACACCTTATCTGCCTCGGTTCAGCGTCATTGTTTTTTTTTCGCTTAGCTAGGCAGCGCAAGCAGAGACACATGTTGATCGCTTGACTCGAAGCCTACTTTCTTCTGTATCTCGGTTGCATCTCGCGTGCGCTAACGATCCTGCGCGTGTAGCGGCCGCAGCGGTCAGCACACAGAGGGCGTCGGTGAGCGAATACGGCGACCCTCGGTCGGACAGACGAGTGCACCATTTGCTTTGCTTCGATAACTGCAGTGCATGACTGGCAGGCATACAGGGGTTTTAAGCGATGCTCGTACACAGACGTCCCCGCCCATTTCTGTTCACCCGCAATTTTGCCCGCAGCAAGTTCGTATATCCGCTTTGCTGGCGAAATATTCCTGGTAGCAACATCCTCAACATATGTTTATGTCGGCGACAAATTTGGCTCGGTGTGGACAGCCGTGTTGCTCGCGTGTTCGTGTGGTTGAGTTATTAGCCAGTTGGGTTGGCACTGCGCTAATAAAGCATGAACATGAATGAACAAAAAATAATAATTAAAATCATTTAGTACAAAACCCGCTAAGCAATAGGATTATCCGCATTTGTAGCTGGTCCTCGCTGCTGTGGGTTAAAAGTGTCAAGGCCACAACATAATTAAGGCAAAAGCCTCAGATCGTTTGTAATGCCCAAATGAAACCAGACCAGGCATTCTTGCAGCTCTCTTGCGCAGAAATTTTGTTTTCCACCATGCCACCGTATTTTTCAATATTCTGGACCATGTGAATAAAGCGACTAAACTTGAAAGATCCTTGCAAAAGCTGAAAATTTAGGTTACCCACCATATGAGCCCCCTGAACAATCTCCCTCGAAAGGCAAATCGGCCTGGTAGTTTCATGTTGCCCGAAGCGATAAGTGTATTCAATAGACGCTATATATGCATAACGAAAATATGAGCCGCAAGCCTGGAGTCGTCCTTCTAAAACAAATGACGCAGCGACTTCCACGACATATCTGCACCTCTCAAAGACCGAGAGAAACGACCTGAACAGTGGTCATAATTCTTTCTCGGGAACGACTGTCACCGTGTCGTTGAGCCGCGGTGCCCGAAGCGCATGTAGGCCGCTTATCGGCTGCTAACTCAATTACCAGGCTCAGCTCGGCTGTCCTCTATACACCGAGAAATACAGTTCCCGCATGTGCAGGTCTTTCGTGTATGCTCACCCAAAGCAACCATATGCTGCTACAGCCTTGGCACGAAGCCCGTGCTCCTAATTAACGCCCCTACACTCATTACAAACTTCCACCGTATTGTTTCTTGTCGCGAGAGGCAATGTAAATATATACAGCAAAAAAATGAGTGCTTAATTGCTCAGTGACTCGTTAGTTTTCTTTGATTTTATCGTGAGTTATAGTCGTTCTGTAGGCGTAGCCGACGGCGTGGGAGTGGACCGACGCATGCGTTGTAACGTGCCTACCGACAAGTTCGCCTGCAGTGGCAATCGCGACACGAAAATCACGCTTGCGCGCATCGTATAAGTGAAAAAGTGTATAGCAAAATGAAGGAAAGGCTCAAGGGGTATCGATGACGTCAGTTGCCCTTCGTAATTCCGTTGATTTTATTGATAGCTAGGATAGGGTTTCACGCTGTAGCTACGCGCATTTTGGTTCAATTTATCCGCTTGCCTGCGGGCTTTTTTATCCACTGGCGTTTGCGATAAGTTGATCTTGCCAACATCCGGATAAGAAATTGCCGACGCCAGTGTTAAACGAACAATTGGACGTTATGCATACACGTAGCGATAGAGTGTCAGGAGGATTGAAATTACTTTCCAGTCAACCCTCATGTTTCGCATGTGTTATAAAACATAAAGAGGCAGATAATATAAGTGAACTATGAAGAAGAATATTTGTGTGTTTGACCACGGTTATGTTTTCTTTTGGTTCCGTTGATACAAGACATCATGCTTCACCAAAGTGTCAGAATAGCACAACCTCACGTTTTTCAACGATGCCAGGATTAGCTGAAATTAGGAAAGTACGTTTTTCACAAACGCTTGCACCACATGCTTGTTAGTATCTAGATGACAAGCCATGAATAAATGTCCGACCTGGCTTTCTATGGGGTTGAGGGTCCTCACTTCTATACACAAGGACAAAAGAATCCTAAAGAGTTGATTTGATCTGGCACTGTTTACCTGATGCTAGTGGGCCTCAACAGCATCCAGCAACATGAAACTTCTAGGCTTGTAAATAAGAAGTGCGAATAGCTGAAAGCTAAGCAAGTTACCCACTATTAAGCAACTGATTACCAAATCTAATCATCCCGGTGCCACAAAAAAAGTAACCACAAAGGTACATTTCAGGATGGCTTAGGCAAGTCGTGGCGTACTATACGTCAAGAATGCCACCCAAGCTACAGCCTCTCACACGCTTCAGCTTCGACTAAGATTTATCAACCGTAGATCATATATACATGACTATTTTTGTTGTCGAACGGGCCCTGCATGGCCACCACTGGATCTCAATGTATGCGCAACGGTTCTTTGTGAATACCAGTTGCTCGCACGCGTCGCTTCGCTATAAATAAGCAGTGTATGTTTTTCTTCGATATCCGCATTAGCAACGCTGCGGGACATCACGCCTCACGTCGTGACGAATGCTGCTCTTTTACCTTGTTTGTTTGTGTTACTGGCACATTTAAACAGCGATAGCATTCGTCGCGCACCAGGCGAGGCGTGATGTCCCCGAGGTACCCCGATTCCACATATCACGGCGTGCGGGTGCGATTATCGAAAATGAGTCGTGTGCGGTCTCTCTCCTTCTCCGTCCCTGTTTCGCTCACAACTGACAAGAGCTCGACAAAAAAGAAAGATGGGAGAGCGGGGGACACAGATTAACTCGGTTCATCGGGGAGAAAGCTGTTCTTCTACTTCAGAGCGTACACACACGACCAACGACCGTATTAGTTGCAGCTTCTTCACTTCTTCATCTCGGAGCGCCGTATATGCGCGGTTAATTGCAGCCTCTCTTCGCCCTTATTTATCGATCATACCTTCCCCTCTCTCCTTCTCCGTGTGGAAGTGGCCTCCACCGAAGAAGAAGACGGTGATGCTTTCTCTCTCTCGCAAAGGGGTCAGCACTCGTCGTGTCCGGTTCGCGACACGTTTTCCGACGAATACCGCTTCTTCGCCGAGCCACGCCTCTTCGATGGCGTAATGAGATCAAGTCCCTTTACGTCCGGCGTCACGTGGGCGTGGTCGAGATGGCGTCAAGAGCTCGGTTCAGACCGCAAATTGCAAGAGCGACACCCGGCATGTGCTTGTTCTTACTTCCCACGCAATCACGACGTGTTTCGAGTAGTGCCTCAAAGGTGCTGAAAGATTGCATCATCAAAAAGGTTGTTGCTTCGTCTTCTTTTTGTTACTCACCACATCACTTTATTTGCAATATTTCACCACCCATTCCTTCTTTAACTTACTGGCTTCATTACGACATTATGTAGAGATTTAGCCACGTAACTTTTTCACTTCAGTTGTAACATCAACGTATACGTGCAGTTTTATTGTTCCCGCTTATCTACGGTACACTTCATAACCCATTTTATACTCTCACACGCCGTGTTTTTTTTTTTCAATCAAAACCAGATCAATCTATCGACAATGTTACACCGTCATCTTCCAGGCAGGACACAAGGTGGGCAGTTCGAGAACAGCTGCTTGGGGACGCTGCTTTATAGTCATCAAAACCTGACCCCCAACGCACGCAATCTTGCGCGACATGCGCAGAATATCGAACATGACGAGAATCCTGCTCATGGATGGATGGATGAAATTGTTTGGTCCTTGCCCACGTCGGAACAGAGAGACCAAGTCTCTGTCACCAAATAGATCAAAGCCTCTCTTACTCCGGTAGAGCGTACGTGACTTCTTGGCCGGATCGTCCTTTTCAAGGCGTATTTCACAATGTTTCTTGCATTATTTTCGCTACATTGATTGGCATTACTCAGTCGTCTTTATTGATTCGCGCACGTTTATTCATGCAGAATGCTGCATGAATAAATGTGCAGTATCGAGAAGCATGAAATACTGTAGTATCGAGAAGTTGAACTTTTCCTACGCAAGTGACTCAAGTTCGGGCTCATTCACGACTCATATTTAAGAGTTGATTATTCTGAGCGCCGAGATCTTTGTTGGGGACTGCAACTTTGTTTGTATTTATACAGTGTGTAATTTTTGACGAGAACGGTGGTTGCTCTAAACAGCACCTAATCAACTTCGTGCAACACGGAATTTCTTGAAGCAAAAAAAAAGAAAAACTTGTACGCGAGGTGGAAAACGACGAGAAGTGTAGAAAAGCTCTCTTGGGTTACAAAAAGAAGGTGACCTAAAACTTATAACGGCGCTCGTAGTGGACAAGTCGGCTCCAATAAATGCGCGACTGCTTATCACCTCAAGCTTCCAGCTTTCATTGAGCTTATCTGTATTTTGTATCTGACCTTGGAATTACAATTCTTGCTCGGACCTCTGAACACGAGCTTGTGTGCAAGAGCACACTATATAAGCACCAAGGTTGTGAAACATAGCAAATCTCCGATTGTCGAATGCCCAATATTGCAGTACCCGATTGCTGAAGGTGGTGTGAAATAGAACGAGATCCATTTATATATTGCAGAAAATAATTGCAAAAAAGGTGCATTTAGAAGTATAAAAGTGCATTTTCACGTAAGTAGAGTGCAGAAGTCAACTCACCATAGAGTGGCCAAGGTATTCGGCAGCATTGTCCGAAATGTAGAGGAGCTTCCCGTTTTGCGTCATCATCATCAGAAAGCCACTCATCGCCTGCAATGCGAAAAAAAATAAAGAATTTTAAAGATATTTTCACAAAGAACTTGTATTTTTTTTTCAATTGATCATACAATATGTAGCAAATAATTCAGATGTTATAGCATTCAATCGTTTTGTTTCACTTGCCGCGAAGTTTTAGTTCAAATTGTGCAGTTTCAGTTTATGGCAAGGGGATACAATGTTGCGTCCCGGTTTCAAGTTCCGTGAACTTTAAAGCTCAATAGTCACGCAAATCGTATCGCAAAGTTTACTGATAACTACACGCACAGAAGATGCAGTTGACGTATAACTGTTCGACGCACAAATCAAACAAAACACACGTATGGACAGCAATACGACCGCATGTTATAATACATCACAAGCCATGTCCTCAGATATCTTCGTTTCTTATCTTTAAATATCAGCTGCATGAAATATAAAGTCTGACGAGCTTCTGAGAAATGACAAGGTAGATTTGGAAGAGGCACATGTGCAGAAGGAAATCAATTTCTTTTCTCAAAAGAAATCGACACTGTTACGATCGCAAAGCCGCTGTACACGGTGTAGTGTGCAAAAGGCAATCCCTCCTTTCATTACAAACACGCGGATACAGATATATTGCATACATCTCGCAGCGGTCGAAAGAAAAAAAAACTGATTGCCTTCAACTGGCGATCGTTATCTCTTCCTTCGAAAGAAGAATCCAGCAATCGCAAAATTACCTTAGGGAACGAAACAAAAAGAAGGAAAAGGAGCAAACATGCACAAAAGGATACGTGGCGGCTCATTTATAACGAGCATTCATCCATCTCGAACACCTCTCATTCGTTCTTTCTCTTTGTTTTTCATCATGGTGCATGATACAAAGTGAAAGAAAGAAAGAAAGAAAGAAGGAAAGAAAGAAAGAAAGAAAGAAAGAAAGAAAGAAAGAAAGAAAGAAAGAAAGAAAGAAAGAAAGAAAGAAAGAAAGAAAGAAAGAAAGAAAGAAAGAAAGAAAGAGAAGGGATCATGGATGGCGCTGCTCATGCATGAAAGTATCGATGCTCGCGGCAGCAAGCGCCGGGTCTCAATACATGCGACTACTCAAGCGAGCGCGCAGCAGTTATTATTAGTTTCTAAATTCGCTGCGTGTTCCGGCAGCAGCAGCAGCTCCATGTGAGCGGCCCTCCGTTCGCGATACGCTTCCATCGCCAATGCGCCGAAGCTCCAAATGAGTTCCGGCACAGCCAGACGCGCACGAAGCGTTGTTGTTTCGAGAGAGAAGCAGTTTTGCGGGAGAGCAACACAGCCGGACTCTCTCTGTGAGTAGAGGAATTAGTCACCGAGAAAGAAAAAAAAACGCGGCTTCCTGAACACACGCATGTGCGCACGCTCTATAGCGGGCGAGTTGCTTAAGGTGCGAGTTATTCGGTGAGCTGTTCGCGCGGTTCACCGTTGTTTAGCCTGCGGTTTCGGGGCGTGGTTCCTTCCTATCTCGCCTTTTTTGTGTGTTTCGTTCTAGCGCTCGTCTATGCTCGCAATGAGTGTATACCCGCTCAGAAGGAACTAGCTGCTGTATGCGCGAGCGTAATCGGGTGGTGAGTCGCAGGTCCGCAACTGAGTGGGTGTGCGTTTGTGTGAACTCTCGGTGCATTTTCTGAGAACTGTCTAAATGAGGAAACGGCAGCTTCTTATCCGGGTTTCACTATGCATTTGCGAGGTTCGCGTACGCGGTCAGCGTATAACACCGCCAAGCAAGAATGAACGGTTGCTAAAGATTCTTGTATTGCCAACTCGTTTTTCTATTTATCACTTTCCGCGTGGTGGTAGATACGCTGTAAGAGTATTAGCTCGTTAAGATACTTGCTTTTTTTTTCTTTAGTGCTTTTATCACTCATTTATTCCTTGCCTTGCGTGGTACGCCTGCCCACCAAGTGAGCGGTAGGCTATGTCGCGGGGATTTCCCCACTCGTATACTTCACGCTAAAATATCATGCCGCGTTTCTGTGACCACAATATTATCAGAACAAGGTCTCTGAGCCGGATCTGTCTCGTTTGTGACCAATACTCTAGTGTGAAGCTTACTCTTCCTCATCAACGCGGTATGGCTCTATACTTCTAATCAAGTGACTTCTACTGGGAAAACAATGGAAAAAAACACAGCCGGTAACACACTGAGAACAAAACGAGAGTCCCTTACACATGCCATGTCAACGTGCCCTGACATTGCTGTGGTGACAGTCGCTTTCGGCAGTGCTTAACTGCATTGACAGTAATGCCACCCGTGAGCGCAAAATAACCACACAAAGCTAAATAATGGAATTATTGATCTTCCTAAGTGGCATGAAAGTGTCGACATTACTGTGCATTTCGACGGCGGCCTATGAAAGAGGTCTAACCGATACGCGCTCCCACTTTAAGAAATTTGAAATTCTCAACACCGGTTTTATTTGCAGTAAGACGTTGCCTTTTTGGCAATGTTAGAAAATGTGGGAAAGCTGTTTTGTTCCGGCGTGGATTCGGATCCCTATATCGTTGGGTGCCATGGGAGGAATTTGACAGATTCTTTCCTACAGCCACAGAAAACGGTACCGCGAGACCGTCGTCAGCCTCATGATGCTGAAGCCAAATACGACGTACCTCGTAGGTACTAAGCATCATAATTGAAACCAAACGCTACGCCCTCTGGAATAGACGGTGCCTTACCAATTAATACGTCGTTAACAGATTCCTAGGTGAATGTTCACATACAGTGTACGAGACTACGTGCATTCTAGTGATAGAACACTGCAACGCACTATATCCGTTGTGGAGTAAAGGAAAGCCAATATTTTATCAATTATGTGGTACTGAGCAGTCAGCACATTAAAATCATCGCCAATGTAGCAAGAATCTGGAATGTCGTAATACTTGGTGAAGTGCAATGTGATTACGCTTTTGCGAGGTTATTTCAGTGATAAACAATAATTCGATTGATTGATTTATTGATTTATTGATTGATTGATTGATTGATTGATTGATTGATTGATTGATTGATTGATTGATTGATTGATTGATTGATTGATTGATTGATTGATTGCAGTCACTCACCGAATCTCGCTCACAAGACATCAACAAACCGCCGAGCAGCGGTCACCCAGGTGGTTTCCGCGGAAACATGCATGCTATAAATAAATGCGAGCGTTCCATTAGGTCGACGGGAGAATCTAGAGGCTCCCGCAGGTATTTCTTTGGTCTCCGTGTCGCGTGAGTCACGAAGGAAAACACACTCGCCACGGGTCGCGTGCAAGCGCCGGCCACGCACGCACGCACGACGACAACGATGACGCCTCGAGTTGTCGTCGCGTGCCGCCAGGTCGTCCGTCATGAGAAATGGAGAGTCCTCCAGCGCAGCAGAACCGGATCTCGATCGGAACGCCAGATTAGACGCCCGGACGGCGAAACGTGGCGGAAGAACGTCGCCGTTCGCGTCGGTATGCGCAGAGTGCGCACCACCGCAGTGCACCGAAGACGTGCGAATAAGCGAGACGTCTAGTAGCTCGATCGTGCGTGTTTAGTAGGGTAACATTACAATGAACACAACTAGGAAGATAGGACACTGTTTACCAGAACAGAGGCATGAGTTCAAGCTTGCGATCGTTCCGTTTCTATTGTTATCTTACCAAAGCGTATCACCAAATGGCCAAGAACTGACTAGCCCCTTTCGTCGCACTACGCACTCCTGCGAAAGTTAAGCTGGCGATTCCAACCTACGCATTCAGCCTTCACTGTAAGGTAATCGCTGTGTATACAGTAGCGTTACTTTCTCTTAGGTGATCGGAGAGATTCAGGTGCCGGAGCACGGCCGGTTGTTGACAAGGCTTCAAAGAAACGTCCAGACTGGTGAAGGAAAGAGGCAGAAACACATCGTAAGACAATTTCAATGTCGAGAGCAGTGCAAATTTCTTCAGCAGGCCACACTTTTGTCTTGTATGTAGCACGTCGACCAGGAAACTTCAGTTCTTCCATTGCAGTGAAGCCTCGCTTTTTCGTTGTGCTGATCACATTTTGGGTGGCGTCACTGTTTCCGGCATTTTTCTTGCCGAGCGCAAAGAAAAGTTGAGCTACTTCTCAGGTACAAGTGGACCTGCCAAACCCGTATGTGCTCCAAACAACAGCTCGCCCCACAATATGTACAGTATATATGGCGGCCAAGTTGCTACACGGCGCAAACGAACACTCTCTGCCATTTCCTGTGAATGAGCAAGCATCTAAATTGGCAAACAGCACCAGGAACAAGAAGGTCGGTGACAGCAAACTAAAGAATTCTGGTGTGTAGAGAAGCGGGAAAGTAATTTAAGAAAAAATAACCGACGGTCAAGCAAAAGAGGAAAAAGTGCAACCAGAACATGAACGCAGAAACAAGCAGCGCCGCATAGACTTGAGACGCTGTACAAGTCTTGCCAGTTTCACGTATCGGCCAATCTCCGCATATCCAACGCTGGTCTTGACAAGAATATAAAAAAAGACAGGTCCTCTGCCCATTACTTTTTTATTTTCAATTTAACAGTTCAGAGTAAATGAACTTATGTCCAGGGATCGAGTTTAGGGGCTACGGTGTCAACATGTAACCAGGATAATTATTCTTATCACTGTTCACTTCTGTACGTAACTCATCTATACTGCGCACAAAAGACGGAGCAGAGCTCCTTGAAGGTACAACCTGATCAAGACAGAAAGAGAGCCAATAACTTTCTTTGAAATAAGGAGTATTCTTTGACGGCTTGATTCTTGGTTTCGCCGGTATCAACAACCACAGCCCGCATATTCCTACCAAAGCACATGTGCCTGAACGTATACTTAACAACCGGCCAACTTAAGTCAGCTTTTTTTTTTCATCAGTGCCCGCGAGCACCCATTAAAACAGCGGGGAGGCGACAATCTGCCAAGCAACTTATGAAAAAGAAGGGGCGAAGGAGATAAAGTGACAGAGAGAACGGTGATGCCGCTTGGAGCTATCGACGACTCGAAGCACCTTCTCCGGTCACCACAGGCAC